TTTTTTTTCAGTTTTCGGTAAAAACAAATTTCCATGTTTTGTTATTAAAAATAGAAAAATTTTATAGTGTGATGTAAAAATAAATAAATGAATAATCAAATGTTAAAGAGTGGTATCGAAGCAATGAGCAACAAAGAATTTAAAAAAAAAACACTGATATAACCAAAATTAAAACTGAAATTAAGGAAAAAAGAGAAAAATTATAAGTGAAAAATTGGAAACTTGTACTGATATCATTGAAAACAGGATAACTGACCTTTTTGTTGTTGTTTTTTGCTGTTTTTGTTTTGTTGTTATTTTAATCAACAGATGGAATTCGTTGTTGTCGACTGAAAATTGTACCGTTTGCACGAATTGGTGTTGGATTAACATAATGATTTCGGTTTAGTAATAACATATTTGAACATATTAATGCATTCTGTTTCATCTCCATAAATAACATACAACTAAAAAAAAAAATTTTTCAAAAAGAAAAAGCAGTAAAAGCATATTGTATGTATTTTGTTAGTATCATTTTTGTTTTAATGTTTTCAGTATTTTAGATGACAATTGGGAGAAAAAAAAACAAAAGAAGAGAAATAAAAAATAATAAAAGAAAAAAGAAAACATTGACTGCAACCATTGAACAACCAAACTAATGCTTAACCTTTGATAATTATAACAACAGATCAGTTATCCGAGTAATTTGAAAATTCTGTTTGTGTTAACACTGAACCTTATCGTGTTTTTTAACTGTTTCTTAGCTGATAAATAAGTGCATAAACAGTAACAGCTTTCTTTTCATCCATTTTTTTTTCCTTGTAAAGATTTAAGACATATTTGTTGAAATACTCTATCAATAATTTTGATTAAAAAAAAAAATTAGAAAACAACTTTTCTTGTGCTTTTCAACTGCAAACAGTGATTGTGGAAAAAGCATAAGTTATGGGATTCAACATAATTAGTTACACTGCTTACGGCATCTATTCCAATAGTCTTCTGTTCAGATAATTTAGAGGCCCAACCTGATTAAGATCTTCTTAGTATCTTTAAAAGCACAGTTTAATGCTTCATTCAGTTTGCAATATTTTGGGTCAAATAAACATATAGTAAATAAAATCAACACTTATTTGATTTTATTTCACTTTTTTTTTTCTAAAGCTTTTATCGGTAAAATAACAAGCAACAAAAAGAAAGTAGTCTTGCAAAACAAATTTAGCTGTCATTATGGTTTTGTTTAAAACTAAATGAAAAAAATTTTATACCATTTCCGTTTAATATTTGGTAGAAAAAAAAAAATAAAAAAAATTTTTTTTTTATCTTAATGCACAAAACAAAATATTGCTAAAACAATTTTATTGAAAAAATTACAAATATTTGGCTTAAATGCTGTTTGTTTTTTTTTTTCTGAAAATTTAACAAAACAGTAAAAAAAAATTTGTCATTTATTTCGTTGGTTTTTTTTTTTTTTTTTTTTT